TGCCAAAATTGTTGGCGTCTAGGACACCCAGCCAAACACTGCCGTTCCACAGCCAGATGCCCATTATGTGCCCAACCTGGCCATACCCGATCTAACTGCTCTGCACAATCACGCACATATGCCAACTGTGGCGGCCCCCATAATGTATTTTATAGGGGCTGTCCCACCTACAAATTTGAATCTGAGGTAGCAACTCTCAGATTCAAACTTGGACTCACACTGCGTGAAGCCAGACAGGAAGCACGTCGACGTGGATTCTCTCTTACTCCTTACTCCAGTAATACTGCTCATTCTAACACTTCTCCTAAACCCACCCCTCCTACATCTAACCCCCCCACTAACCCCACCTACCTTCCCCAGTCAAACTCTTTTGCCATCCTAAATCCAGAAACTCCAATCTCTACTACAGATACACCAATCACCACTACAACCCCAACACCTTCCCCTCTCCCTCGCACTCCCCGTAACAGACAGAACAAACGTTCCACCCCCTCTTCCCCTACCACACAATCACCTCCACCATCCTTTGCCCCTACTCATGAGACACCAGTCCTCTCTTCTCCCCCTCACAAGAAATCCTTTATCCCCCAAAACTCCCCAACCAACTCCTTAGAAGAAACTATTGAAAATATTCAAGATTACTTAATGCAAACTGACACTCAACCTACAACCCCTGCTCCTTCCACACTCCAAGTAACTGCTGATATCCATCCTCCTCCTAACGATATCCCCCCTACACCCTATCCTCCTACCCCCTCCCAACACAGCCCATCCCCCCCGACCCCGACCCCAACCCCGCCCACATTAACCCTCCCACCATCCCCTCTATCCCTTCCACTCCCTCCTGGATACACACGTGAATCCCTTATGTCACAAGTATCCCCTTCCTCAGACCCTCCATCTCCTAATACCCCTCCTGATAGAACACCAACTCCCACATCTCTCCCATCTCAAACCTCTCAGTCCTTATCCCACCCTCTAGCTGCTTCCCCCTCAAAGTCTCCAACATGTACTGCAATCTATTACACTAAATCAACGAAAGTATAACTATCCTTCATTGGAATATTCGCGGTTTCCGCTCCCACAGACCTGACCTTCGTCATATCCTTTCCTCTTATAACCCATCTATTGTATGCCTTCAAGAAACCTTTCTTACACATCCTCCAATACCAATCCCCAGTTATCATTTTGTCTCTTCCCCACATTCCCTTTATGTCTCGTCCATACTTATCAATCAGAAAACACCTTATGTCACACCACCCTTTCAAACCAATGTCCCTTGCACAGCTATTCGTATCTTCCTTCATCGTTGGATCACAGTGATTTCAGTCTACTGATGTCACAATCTGATCCACCCCTATGTTCCTTATGTAATGTTCCCCTTTCAATCGTACACATCCTATTGTCGTGCCCACGTTTTGAAACAGCCTGTACCTCTGCTTTCCCCCACCTATCCTCCCTTCACCGACCTCCCAACCTATCAGACATCCTTACAGAATCCCACACTTTCTGCATCAACAACCTGTTCTCTTTCCTCAAATGCATACATATCCTTTATCTAATCTAACACCCTTTGACTCACCAATTCCATTGCCCAGCTTAGACAACTAATCACTAACTCAACCACCTTTCACTAACATTAACTATAGTGCTACATGACCTTAGATGTCTAGCACATTTATCTTGCTTTTAACCATTAACATAAATTCAATAAGGTGCATTGAAAAAAAACGTAAAAATTAAATTTGATTTTGACAGTGTTACATAGGAAACAAAGCATAATGGAATAAAAATATAAATATCAAACCAAGAGACAAAGTAAAGTAAAGCCAAATAAAGTAAAAACATAGAATACAAAAAACTGCAAGTCAAAGCAAGAAATGTCATAATGATGTAAAGTGGAAATATTTGGGAAATTTTTTGTTGGAATTTCTTTAAAAAAAAAGTAGGTAAAATACAGTTGGTAATTACCCTTTGATTAATAACAATCAACTGATCCTGGAAATTAAATAACTTGAATTACCCCAAAGAATAATTTTTTAAAAATATAGGAAAAAAAAGTATCAACAAAAGCAGATATAAAGATTTTAATAGAACAGCAGACATTAGAGCTTTAAATATAAAAAACATTATAGTGAAAGATCTAATCTCAGTTATAAAAAAAAAGGAATGACAAAGCTTACAAAGCAGATGAAAACGCTTATGAATTTTTAATAAATACATAAAAATCTAATCCTTTTCAGTCATTGCCTCTGCATTCCCCGGCTTGTCGTGGGGAGGCTTAGTAGATGGTCACTGAGGCCCAATGTAGGGGATCACCCCTACCCTGTTCCTTAGTCCTTGCCTCCACTAATTTTGCATGGTCTTTTCTTCTCCACCTTTCCTTTTCCATTTCTTCTTCATCCCCTTTTTCTGTCCATTTATCCAAATCATTAACTCATTTTTGCCCTCTTTGCCATAATAATATATCATAATTTTATATGACATTTAATGTCTAGCA